AAAGAAAAAAAAAAGAGGCATAAAAAAATAAAAGAAGGATGAAAGAAAGAAAGAATGAGGGAAGGAAGGAAAGAAAGAGAGAAATAAAGATAGGGAGAGAGAAGGAAGGAGGGTGCGTGTTTGTAATTTTTTTTTTTTTTTCCCTTTGCAGCGTTGTCGTTTCTTTCGCTTTTTTTTTCTAGCAATGAGATAGATAGATAGATAGATAGATAGATAGATAGATAGATAGATAGAGAGAGAGAGAGAGAGGTTGACTACTGCGGGCCATCGGCACACGCATCGATGTGCATATGTTTATTTCAGGCCCGCAGTAGCCAACTTCGGTCAACATCAGAATGAGTGACCGTGCGTGAGTTTCTTTGTTCGTGGCTTCCGGGTATATCTCTGCGTCCGGAATAGGGCTATCTCTCTGTGTCCCTGTCGCGTCCGATTTATATGTGTTTACTTGCATGCGTTCTGGCGTTGATGTCTTGCTTAATTCCTGGTTCTGACGCTTGTGTTTCGAAAAAAGGGTCCGCCATGTTGAGTTGTACGTACTACTGTTGGCGCCATTGTACGAAAGCATTGAGTCTCCCTCTCTCTCTCTCTCTCTCTCTCTCTTTCTCTCTCTCTTGCTGTGTCCACGTATTTGTCTGTGTATACACTGCTCTCCAGATGTCAACGTTCACCACGGCCGGGCAGAAAAGGAAGCTGGGCGGAGAGTGTCATGCAAGGATGGATGACTTCCTTCCCCCAGGCGGCAAGGACCACAATACACCTGAAACGGATCGAAACAGGGGTCGGACTGTAGTTTGCGACCGAGAACATATAGGCAGGCTAACAGAGGAGGTGCATAAGCAGAAAGTACTGCTTAAAGAGATGTCAGACGAACTACGCCGCGTCAAGTCTCTTCTCGACGAAATGACGGAAACCGCGGAGCACAGGATGTTCACCGTGTTCTGGTTGTTGCTTGACAACCCAAAAGATATACTAGACGTTACTCTTCTGAGGGAGGACATGTCAGCCAGACTTCAGGCAATTGCTGAAACGAAGAACACCACGTTCGACAAGTTTCAGGCATGGCTGAATATTGAAAGGGAAAGGCGCACCGCCGTCTTGAAGCGGTTCTCCGCCCATGTCACAAAGACAACAAACAGGGAATCAGACGGAGGGGATGTCATGTGTCTTGCCAGCTGCGGAAAGTGTGTGCTCAAGGAGGGGTGGACATCGTACAATTCCCAAGATTACAACACAGGTTCGCTACCTACGACGGCACGCAGCGTCGTTGACCTCTTAGCCTTCGTCGAGGACTGCATTCGCCACTGTACGGAAACTGTTGACGAGTACGGTCTGAGTGAAGTGCGTGTCGGGTCTGTTAATGACGAGCTTCCTGCAAAAATCGCGACTCTGCTGAGCAGTTGCTCCGACGTAATGGATGCCCTGCAACACACTCGAGGCAGGATGTTGGCTGGGGAACTGACGGTGACATGCACGGAAGGAGATGTTATGGGATGTGGAGAAGGTGAAACGAAGAAGGGAAGAGAGGAACCTGACAGACCAATCGGAGTGTGTTCGGGGAATGAGGCCATTCTTGGGAAGGATGCGCCTGCGCCACATGTCCTGTTTGCGTGCAGTGATGTTGCCGCACT